TAGTTGAAAATTTAATTGAGGGTAATGGCCTTTCTGTTACAAAGGATCACTGCTTGGTGAAAAATGCAAGAGGTATGTATAGTTGTTAGAAGAATCCTTATAGTCAATAAAAAAATATGCTACAAATTTGTATAAATTATTTTAGGGAGTGATTATAGTAAAGTACGTTTATACCAAGATTAATTTTGTCATTGTACATCTTGCTATTATTTGATAAATTATGGTACCACAAATTTTAGAATATATTCGAAAGCTTTTGTTTCACTTGAAATAATAAAATCGCTCTTTAAGGCATAATCTGTCGATTTGTCGAGTGAAAGATGTATACTCAAAGCATTTCTTTCCTCTAGATTTCGTTATTCTGTACCAACTAAGTATAATTTAGATATTATTAACTAATTATGATGACAAATGAGGGTTTCGTAGTTGACTCCATACTACGAAAAAAAGAAATAAAAACCAAATTATCAAGGTTTGAAACTTTATATCCAATCCATTTGCAAATTGTTAGTAGGATAAATAAATACATAAATCGAATCGAAAAGTAGTAAAACTTGTTCATAATTTTAATTAATTCCTCAAAATGTCGTCCCCCCTAAAGTAATTCTTCTGGCCAAAATACACTTGTACCAACCTTTTTTCCAATCCTCGAAACAGTTGTTGAAGTCAATTTCTGGAATAGCGATTCATGTTTAATGATTTCAATTGACTCAAAACACGGCGCTAAATCAGCCGAATATTGGGCGATACTCGGTCGATTGATTGTCTGCTTCCAAGCCGTAAGCGTAGATCTAGTAAAAATACATTTCATGACATCTTGGTAGTTGGAAGGCATTGCTTCATTGTTAGTTTACAATATAATGATTATGAACTAATAAAACAAGAAAAAACGGTAACCACGTTTACACCGCAGCAATAATTCACAACACCAAAAATTCTTTACAATAACTTGATCTTGATCGTTATATGCTATAGTGATTCGATCTCGAAAATTTTTTGGAAGAAAAACAAGTTTCAAAAAGTTCAGATCACTCATCCAAAATTGATAAATAGTTCGCATATATGTATTTAGATGGACAGAGAGACGGGCATGACACAATCCGTCATGTTGATCATTTATTTATACCTTTTGTAGGGCCTGTTACATTTCCTTCTGGGCGATGCAAATGTCGTGCTGAATTTATATACCCTGTTAAGGATATAAAAACAAAAAAGCATTGTAATGAAGAGTTAAGTTAGTGTGTAAGAAAACATTTCATAATCTTACAATTTAGGATCACCGCCGGCAAAATTCCTTCAGGTGTTGGCAATATTAGAAAATGGGTCGAAATAAATGTAATCTCATTGTTCGATGAAACGATGAATGTATTACAATCAAAGCGAAAATTATACTAAATCATCCTCAATCGATTTTATCTACTTAAGCCAATACCACATACTATTAACATGCTACCTACTAATTAAATGCTCTCTGAGTTTTATTAATGTACCCCACATACCATCATCAGTCTATAGGGCTAAAGTTGTTGTAAAGATGTTGGAAAATTTCTATACTAGTTATAAAATGGTCAATCAAATTTTCACCAATATTTACCGATTTTAGTGATGGAGGTATACTGTTATTAGTAAAACACGCTCTTCCGATATTATTAAGTTACTAACATATAACGCGAATTATGTCCTCCACCTCTATTTCCACAGGCTCTTCTTGAGTATAAAAGATGTAAATATTTGTCATTATTTGAATTTCTTTTTGTTCCATCAATAATATAATTTTAATTTCGAAAACTTTCCATGGCTATTTCGAAATTGCTATAATTTTCAACTGTGACCCAGGTTTTGAGGGCTCGAGGCGAGTATGCGGTATTTTCTAATGTTCGTATATCTAGATATTATAGAAATGAATCATATTTTCAGAGGCAAAGCCTTATGCCTTTCATGTCACAACAAGTAATTCAATTAGAGAACTGAAATTTTATTTTCATTTTTAATGATGAATCATTAGTGGGAAAATATAAAAGTCTCTTGATATAGTTTATAATAGACTTTGTTATTGTAAGATACATATGCATGTTGGTATATACTTATAATCGTTTTTATCCTGATTTGTACATTAAATCTTTCATATATACCTTTTTGCAACATCAACCACCATTAAGTGGCCATTTTGAATTCCTTCAACAACAAAAAAAAAAGTGACGTACTTCATCAGCGCTGTGATTTTTATGCAGAAAAAGAAGCTCCACCCATAAGGATGATTCATCGCCAACCACAAGTGGCACAAAAGAAGAACAAGAAATTTTGAAGGCAGGCACAAAGTAAAAACTGCTGCAAAGACGGCTAGAGTAATAAAGAGCTTAGTAGATGGAAGCCGCAGTTCGAGTTTATTTTCCAAAAGAAGCAAAGAGAGTTGAACTTCAGAAAAGACTGTACCTCGTAGCTCCACCCACTAATGATATACAAAACAATTTTGGCGTCCAACTTGCCACGCACATATGTATATAAATATGTAATATTTCAATGAACCGTTCTGCGTTTATGTAAGAAGGCGGATACCTTCTAAGCGACAAACAAAACTCAAAAAATAGACTATGCTTCATTGCAACTAAAGTCTCCCGCCAATATTGAGCCAACGTGCCGGAATGAAACAGCAAGCGGAAGCGCATGTGTTGAACCAAAGAGGAAGGCATGCTAACAATATTAGCTGCCGCAGTGATAAGGCCACGCCTCTTGAGGTTTGTGGCAGTTGTGCCGAAAGACAGAAAATAAAATAACATAAAGAGCAAATTAAATTGCCGAAAAAAGGGAACATAAGCAGACAGGCAACGGCAAAAGGGCGGCGGTCGGTTAAAAACAGCAGGCAGCGCTACCAAAGAGGCAGACACAATACTCAAATACAGCCGATGGGCATTAAATGTGCACGCAGAGTCAATTTAATTTCGGCTGATAGCTTGGTAAAATGAGGCAGAACAACCCTCAAAGTATAAATGCCATGAAAAGAAATAAATAAAACAGTGAATGAGATTCAAAGCAGTCGCAGAGAGTGTATAGCGTTTTTAGAGTGTAGGACAGAGAGAGAGAGAGAGAGAGATAGAGAGAGAGCGTGGATAAGAAAACAAAAAACTGAGCGTAAACTGGAGTAATACGTTTCTTTAAGATACAATGATTATAATAGATACTTCATCTGATAGATGTGTGATAAAGTAAATCGGGATATACAGTGCATATACATATGTATTGGTATATAAATATATAATATTATAAAATGTTTGTGCAATTCTTGTCTAAGTACCAATTTTCAATTGAATGATAATAACTAACACCATCTTATCGTTCTTAAAGTGTTTTACAATTAAAATTTTTAAAATATCAGTCATCAAGCCGATATAAAATATGTATAAATTATATACGTCCATATTTATTGCACAGTAATATCGCATTGAGGATTAAGTATAATATACTTAATGTTAATCCAATCACAAAGGGGCCAATAGATAACACATTTCATAACATGTTCATTGTGGTATTACGTAGTTAGGGTTACCATCACATTAAAATAATAATGCACCAAATAAATTGACGGTCCGTGAGCTGCCTTGTTCAACTACGTTAGACTTCCCTACATACATTTTTCGAATAACTGGAAATAGCTGGTACAGACTTGAAATTCTTTGTCTGTTAATGCGCGAAAATCTATCACAAATTGCTGTGGTGAGATTTTTTTTTTAAAGTATACCACCTTTACAAGAAATCAAACGCGCTTCCAAAGACTTACAATACATAAATACAATTAATAAAATTCTGTCGAAACTGTGTCGAGTTTCATTCCTAATGGCATCGAATGTACTTTTACAAGAATAAAGAAGTTCATTGACATCCCAAATCTATTTTGTGATTCGGAATATCGTTAGTAATTTTTTCTAATTTTGATTCGTTTCATGTTTTTCCATGATGAAATTGCAAATCTTACTTAAGAGAAATGTCAAAAGGGCAGGAAAAATATGGCCTCGTTTGCTGTCCTTATCGGTCTAATTTCGTAGCGGCCCAATTGAAAAAACCCGGAACCTGATCATTACTTCACTGTTAATTGAAAACAACTGAGATATTGCAAAATGTTATATTTTTTTAAGTTGTTTCTTCACTATATAACATATACAAATTTGCTATAAGTTTTTATAAGCTATTTGAAACTAAATATGCTTAAAATTACAATCTTCTTAAGGCTGGCGTAAATCTCTGATCACATACTTAAAGTTGGGTAATTTTGATTTTTTATATTTCAAATCAATATATTATTTCGGTTTTTATTAAATAATGCCTTCGCAGTGATTGTGGAAACTTTGATGAGAGTCAGTTAAAAGTTAATTTGCTTCCTTTCCTGAAATTCCATGAGTATTTTGTTTGTACGTTCGGGTAATCAATAACTTCAGAATTTACACAATCCATACGTGAGAGTTTTTGTCCATAGTAACTCTGCAGGCACGTGTTTTATAGTACTCTCAAAGAAACCACCAGAAACAATACAGAGCACAAGCCAAATGGGAACCAACTCAACATTGCGTGAGAGAGTCACATCATAAGAGTACACTTTCGGAGATTACAACCAAATCAACAAGCTTCAAACATTTCAGCGGTAAGTAAATGAACATTGATGAAACATGTGCTGGCAATGCGAATGAGCGATATCAACAGAAATGTGTGAAAAATAATGGGCTCGTCTCCAGGCGCTACTCATGTGCAACTCTGATGACGATAAAGTGGAATAGCTATCGCACTTACGTGTTGTCATTTACGCTCGCCGCTTATGCTGCGGCATGAAGACACATTTGCCTTCCGTTTTCTCAAGCTGGTCGTTACGCCATGAAGTCAATGAGAGTTTCTACGCAAATATTTAAGACAAAGCAGAATAGCAAAAGAGTGTTTGCGCGGTATTCCGAATCAATGCAGCTGCTTGGTCGAGTATAAAAGGTTTACGCTCAGCACGCAACTACTCATTTCTCAACAGAACGCCGCTTTAAACGGTTGTGTGCACACATTATATAAAAGAAAGTTACTTCCAAAAATTTTACGTGAATTTAAGAATTATCTGAAGACGTGACTGTGAATTAAAAAAGATAGAAATTTGAATAAAACAAAAACATTTAAAGACACTTCAAGAAGTGAAGATTTAAAGTGTAGAAAAGTTCTAGAAATCATTTTATTTTTTAAACAAGTTAAGCTAAAACTGCTAAAAAAAAACCAAAGTGAGTCTGCTCGAAAATTAAATAAAAATCATAAGATTTTCAAACTAATCAACAAAATGGCTCACGCTTTCTACGTACCGAATCAAGCAGATTTATTGCGGCGCGTCTATCTGCGGGAACGACGGCTGCAAGAACCCCGGCAACAAAATGACTGTCTAAACAACTGGCTGCTTATGTTGACGATATTTTTTGAATTATTGCGTCTATTTGTGCAATATGAGCGACAACTTATGGGCAGCTGCCGTCCAACGAGACTACTATAATGGCAATCAAATCACAAACACTCCAAAATCAATAGAAAAAACCAAATAATTTGAATACAAAGCATTACATAGAGTCATTACATCAAGTACTTAAGGTATTTCAACAGCAAAAGAAAGTAATTTCACAACTAATGAGCAAAACCGTCGAAGATCTCAGACACGAACTAGCAGCGTACAAGTCGCTAACTGCAGCGTCATCCACCTGTCGCCGGTAGGCGGCTCACGGACAAAATACAACAAAAACCACAAGCGTTTTAAATTCACACTTCTCGAGGCTGTCGCGCTATGAGTAATACCACAAGCACGAGCAGAAAACCCGTTAAATTGAGGTCAATAACTGCCGTGCGTGAGCAAAGCAGCACAAAAGAAAAAAATTAAGCAAATTATTATTCAGTTTAAACGAAAGTAAWAATACATACTTTTAAGCATTGTATTATTTATTATTATTTGATTTTTTTTAATTATTAAATTAATTTCTTTTTAATATTTTTTTGTGCTTCAGCATTTTTCATGTTTGAAGTGAAAATTGAAATTTTGAATTTGATTTTATTATTTTTAAAATGATTTATTGTTTAATTTTTTCTCAAATTTCAGCAGCGTTTTTATTTTTGAACTCATAATAATAGCCTTTATTTTAGTATAAATTGTCAACAATTTTTATTTTCTCATCAAAGCGATTGTGATAAGTCTCTATGGTTTCTAAAAAATAGTTTCATAAAAAATAGCTGTTTATAAATAAATAGTGTGAGCGTTAAGCAATAGTATTAAGTATATAAAATAGTTTTAACACATGCATACTATGTTTGTAAAAAAGACTAAAACTATTTTTTTATGAATATATTGATAAGATTTTATAACGAAAATAAATAAGTGACAAATACTAAAAAATTCAAAATATTAATTTTTTTATTTTCAAATAATTTTGCATTACTCAAAGAGGTTTTAGAGGAAACTAAAAATTTTATTGGTAACAGTGCAAAAGTAAGTATGAAAAATTTTACAGAACAATTCTAAAACTGAATTTTTTACTCTTAATGGTCACATCGAGTGTAAAGTGTGTTGAATAATTCTAAGCGTAAATTTACATTATATTTTCAGATTTAAACTTTGCGAAACAAAAATATTAATATTTTTTTGGTTAATTCCGACTTCCGACTTCGTTGAGAAAATGTCTTTCAATGCTATAATGATTCTGGCGTTCTCGGTAGATGAAACCTAAAAAAATTTCCGCTGAAAAATATTATTCGTGTAATTACTTGGGGCAGAAAAAAAATCACAAGATGGTAGCGTTACAAAAAGTTGAATTTTACCGAAAATTTTGGTCATTTGCAAAAAAACTTGTATATTATCGAAAAAATTGCTAGTGATCGGATCATTTGTTCCAGAGTAATGAACAAATTTAAAAATATAAGAAAAACTGATGAAGCTGCCGGAGCTAGGCGTGAAAATTAAAATTTCCCAAAAAAATTATCCGCTTATAGTATTTTCGAGTGTGTGGCTACAAACATCTTGTACATATTTATATAGATCTAGAAGTATATTTTTTCTACTGTTACATTTGCTTAGGTCTTATAAAAAAAATTGGCGACACTTAAATAGAATACTATTAGCTCAACTAGGCAGTTAGTTATGATCGATTTGGTATATCCAAAACGTAATAAACTTAACACATACATTTTACAAAGAAACTGAATATCCACATTACTGACTTTATTTATGCGTCATATAATTTTTATTGTGCGAATGTGGTCGATTTTTGGCTAAATATTTCTAATTTCCTGCGAAGTCTTGGTTTTATGCTTTCAGTCATAGAATTCAACGGCTGAAGCACATCGGGGACTCCAAAGCGTTTACGGAAGTACTCACTCAAGTAAAACAACGTGTCGTGAATGCTTTCATCGCTTCGAAGGCGGTATTAAGGACCGTCTGCGTGAAGAAATGCCAAAAACCTTCGAAGACGTTTGCCGGATCCATTTCAAATGCAAGAAGAGCTTGCTTCAGCATTTGAAGTTACTCGTCAAGCTTCCTCAAAGTGACTGCATATGCTGGGAATTATTCAAAAATAAGGAATTTTGTTTCTTTATGACCTCAATATCAGAAAAGGCACAAAAAAATGATGCTGCTGCATGACAACACTCGGCCTCATGTTGTCAAACCCGTTAAATACCCGCCATATTCCGCAGATATTGAACTGTTCGATTTTTATTTGTTCCGTCCGATGTTCGATACTCAAAAAATGACATCGAAAATGGCTTGATTGTCGAATAGCATAACAAGATGAAAAGTAATATTAGTTGAGCTTTGTCAGCCTATTGGGGAAAAGTTGTGACTAGCGCTGGGCAATACTTTGAATAATTCACTTGTAATCATTTCCTTACAATAAAATTGCATTGTCATAAGGTAACACCCCTAATATTGTATATAGACAAACGAATTTCCAAAACGAAAAACCAAAATTTCGATAAAATTTTAATTGAAACTTGTGAATATTCGGGAAGCCTTTTTTAAACTTTTTGTTTCCCCATGTTAAATGGAAATTATTTTAGTTATATAATTGTTGATAGATAGATATTTTCTCGTATATTTAAATTAAAGATATTCCGAATATTTTTTACGGCCTTTTTAAACTATAACATGTTCAATTCAAAACCATAACCAGAAGATAATGATTTCACAATAACATTATATGTAAGTAGAGAAGAGATACATATATTTACATACATATATACATTATTCATACTTCTGGAAACTGCTTGGAGTAGAATGGCATTACTTCAAATACATGTACAGTAAGACTCCGCTAAATGCGTAGGTTACATTATCCTCCGATGAACCAAAGCTAAACCAGGTTATCCTAAGACAGTCAGATAATTCACTATGTTTCGCTCTTTCTTTGTTCTGTTGATATCTCGTTTCATACAAAACAAAAAAAAAGTTTAGTCAAAAAAAAAAAAATAAATAAATAAATAAAATGGACGAAGTCGGACTACAACCACGCTTAATTTCCACTTAGCTTTAATTTTCGAATTTTCGAAATTCCGGGTGACTATTTACCGCATATATATGAGTCATCTCAATGAAAATGAGAAAGAGTGGTGTTTCACTTTTACTATAGATCTAAAACAGATAAATTTTAGCGAAAACTTGACCTAGCCCCCATATAAGTAATGTCAGGATTTTCGATCATCCGGCTGACTTTACGCTGTATGATTGGTTTTTTAGTATGCGGCATGTTAATAGTATGTAATATTGGGACAAATAGATAAAATCGGTTCGATAATACCTGAACTGTCATACATACATACATATAATGATTTTCTGTTTGTCATGTTACACCTTAAAGTATTTGCCTGGCTTTGATTCTTTCAAAGTGCAAGAGTGTAAAATGTTGGGTTGCACTCGAACTTAGACCTTCCTTACATGATGTGGCTGCTTATTTTTATCACTCACGATAAAAACTAATATTGCTCACAGTATAAGTCGTTATATTATTATAAAAATGTATACTTTTAGTTATATAGATATGTATTTTAAAAACTGGTTCTACGCACAGTTTCGGGGAATACTCCGGTTGAAATAAAATAATAAGTTGAATAAAAGAACTGAAACAGCATGAAGCGGAGTCTACTGTATTTTAGCGTTTTGTCGTACTTATGGCGCGAAGAAACCTGTCGCCAAAGAGGCTAACAGTCTAGTATTTACCGTCTGAATTTGCTCGTCAAGGCCGAATAGCAGCAAGTAATCATTTGCACTATATACCTTTCTTTTAAAGATAAGCGTTCTTGCAAACTGTATTATTTATTATCCACACTACATATATATTGCTAATAATAGAAGTCTATATAAAAGTCACTTGCTGAATAGAACCGCACTTGGGTTGCAGAATAAATTAAACGCAGTTTCTTCGGTGGGGAAGCACAAAATTAGTCAGATAAGAAACTATTCCGCACTTGAAATTTATTACTGTATTTTAACTGGTTAAAAATATGGTGTCTCATGCGATACATACAACTTCGAATGGATTCGAAAAAAAAAAATCACGTGGCCAACGAAAGTGTGCCTTAAGAAGGCAATCCTGTTTGCAAAAAAAAATAATGGAAACAGCGTCACTTTGGGATCTATTACTTGAAACAGTAGAATGAAATTTGATAAAATTTGGGCAGCATACTAATTGAAGTTTAGTATACTAACTAAGAATAGGGATTTTGCTTTTGTAGTCTTTTTCGCATCGGTCATTTAGGTGATTGCTAACTACACAAAAATTTTCAATGAGAAGCCCACATGAAAGTAGGATTACAAATTTAACTAATCTTTGAAAACATATATGACAACTTGCTTATGTAAAAATTTTTACAAATTGAACACAAAAATGCTACATAAACTGTTAATGTTTTTTAAAAGATACCGATCATCCATTTGTAATTCATTCATAGAATAGACATTCTAAAATATACTCCAAATGCTTAAAAATGGACAGTTTTATTCTGCTCGTACAAATTTAACTTATTACCCCCAAAAATATATCTCTCTACTCTATACTAGCCTTGGTAACGTCTCTCAAATTATATTATATATTCATGGAAGCGTTATTCTTGTTCTTCCGAATAACCCACGATATTATAATGAAACTGTAACACGTTTCTCAAGGAAGGCTTTCTACATTCGATGATTGAGAAATCATTCCAATGAATAGCGCGTCATAATTGTAAGCTCTGGGCAACTATGCATTACTGTCTTAAAACTGTATCAGGACTTTTTCTTTTCATTTGCTAATTCACGTCAAGAAAATATCTCAATTCATAATTTTCTTTTTTGAGGGCCAAACAAGACTACAGCATTTATGTTTTCCTCTGTAGGCTTTGGAAAAAAATTCTTCAAATATTTGAAAGATGATCACCTGGGTCGCTCTAGATTATCGCACTGCAAGCCTCATTGCTACTTTTTCAACTCGGTGGGCGTAAGCTGTTATAAACTAATTAATTTTATCGAAATATTATAGTTAATCATTAACTATCATAAAAAAGAGAAAGTAGTCCTGATTTCTAAGAGATAGATTGAAGTAAGCATAATACCCTCCTCTGACTCTAGCGCAGCTTTGTTTTGGGTATTGTATCTTTTTAAACTATTCTATTTATTTAGAATACACCCTGCCATACCCAACTTATGTCCTGCTTGTAATGACCTCCCGCTCGATACTAAGCATCTCTTTGTATGCCCCATGAAACCAACTTACTTAACCCCATTTGTCTCTTTGGTCTGAACCCGTCGAACGAGTACTCGCTGCAACAATAACAATGACGACGACGACGCTCTATTAAATATATATTAAGTGAAACTTATGCCTAAAATATTTTTTTTTTTTATCCTGTGTAGGTGTGTTTGGACTTTGCTATTT